AAAAAAAAAAAAAAAAAAAAATTAGGTTGTGTGTATTTTATATTTGCATTATGTTGTAGGCAATATATATAAATGAGTTACATCGATTTTCTACAAAAGTGAGCATTGATTTGATACATATTGAATTTTAGGTGTTCTTAAAATTATTATTATAAGTTTAAAATTAACTACTAAATTGTGTTTGTCATTAATTTTTTTAAATAAAAATTATTTATCTTTATTATAATTTATAAGTAATTCCATGAATACTGACGTTGTAAGAATATCCAATGTAAAAGAAAAATAAATGTTGGTTTGAAAAAGATATATTTAATGAGATTTGAATTTACGTAATCAGGAGTGATATAATATATAAGAACATGTAGAGAATAAATATCATTATTTTTCACTAAGTTACGTTTGTGCCCCTCAGTCTTGCAAGTCTGCATCCGTCCCTGTTTGCAAACATGTCTTTTCTAAAAGAACATGAGATTTAACTGTTCATGTTTTGCCAATATTAATTTGTTTGCATACTTTAAATACTTTCTATTTATTTTATTGTATTTTGATTTTTTTTTTTTTTCTAATTTAGTTTCATCTAATTGACATATGAGTCATGTGAAAGTGGTTGGTAAAATTATTCCATTAAATCCAAAATTCAGTAAATATCCAGAAAATGTTGGTAAAGAAAATAAGAAAACTCATAAATCAACCAGGCTGATTTGGCTTTCTAGCTGTTGACCTTCGGTATAATGTCATGTTAGAACGTATCTTTAGGTTGACATTAAAATGACTAAATTACTATTAACCCATGATATCCATATAAATATATATATATATATATATAAAATTAAAACTAGCCCGACTTAAAAATCATGTTTTTAACAGTTAAACAATCATATTTTTCCGAACAAATATTTTCAGATTGAAAAATCGTGTATAAAAAACAACACAAATTGAAATGCGGTACACTCATACATATACTCTACAAAATAACATAAACCGATCGAGGTGGACCCATCTAAAGTTTCAGCCGTGCAGAACTGGTCGACACCGAGGAATCCGTCCGAGGTTCGCAGTTTTCTCGGATTAGCTGGATATTATCGCAGGTTTATC